ATCACTGAGAGTGACCCACAGATACCGAGGGGTTTGATGGCAGTCGTGGGGCTGTCGAGGGCTGAGGCGCTCAATGTCTGTCCGAAAGGAGTATTCGTTGTCTGTAATAACGCTAAGGAGTCTGTAGTCATATCAGGTATGCGTTCAGACAATCAATGGTTAAGAACTAATTCCTTATAATTTTTGAATGCAATTAAAGGTCCGATAAATGAAATGAAGGAAACAATTGATTTTTTGAATAAAAAGGGAGTTTTTGTGCGACAGTTAGAGAGCAGTGATATTCCATACCATAGCCAATACCTGCGCTCATCGGCACAGCCTATGGTCGACGCCATCAAGAAATACATCCAAAACCCAAAGCTCAGGTCAAAGAAATGGTTCTCCACTTCTGTAATGGTGTCGGAGCCCGAAGACGTGCTCTTGCGATACGCGTCGGCCGAGTATTTCGTGCACAACCTAATGCACCCTGTTCAATTTTACGACCGACTTAAACACATACCCACCGGTGCTGTCGTACTGGAGCTGAGCCCGCACTCAGTCTTTAGCAAAATAATGGCCGAATCGGTGGACAATTGTCAATATATTTCGTTGTTATCCAAAGACTCGAACCATAAAAATGTGGATCAGTTTCTGTCGGGAATCTCCAAACTCTACGAATTGGGTTTCAACCCATCGGTGGAGCGCCTGTACCCACCCATACAATGGCCGGTCCCTCGAAGCACACCATCGATCAGTTCGCTCTTGAAGTGGGATCACAGCCGAGACCTATCGCTTTATACAGCAAAATATCCCGAAAATATGTTGCGATATGTTTGCGGAGATATGAATGTTGTGGTGAACATCGGGGCCAAGAAAGACGACTACCTGTGCGATCACGTGGTCGACGGCAATAACCTGTTTCCAGCGACCGGTTATCTGATGCTCGCGTGGCGTCAAATGGCCGCCTCTTATGGCCAGACATGGGATAAAGTTCCGGCGGTTTTCGAAAAATGCCAGTTCTTGAGGGCAACGCTTCTTTCGGCGGACGCCCCGACACGACTGACCGTAAAATACTTTCAACACTCGGGTATTGACACCAAAAGCTATTTTATAAATAAAACAAATTAATATCAATTTTACAAAATTCAGGTGAATTTATAATTAATGAATGCAATATACTTTGCGCCGTCGGTACTGTCCGTCGGGGCGCCGACGATATGATGACCGAACAGCACCTCATCAGTGATGGACAGCCAGTGGTGTCGGAGTGTGAGTACCGGTTGGACAGGGAGTCCGTTAGGAAAGAGATGCATATCCGGGGCTATGAGTACTCCAAAGGGTTTCAAAGTTTGCTTAACATCCGGACCGCAGACTTCAGTCGCGCGAACGCAGACATCGAGTGGACGGGAAATATGGTTACATTTCTGGACGGTTTGCTACAACTGGCCGTCAATACAGTTAAAGTCCATTAGGAAAGAGATGCATATCCGGGGCTATGAGTACTCTAAAGGGTTTCAAAGTTTGCTTAACATCCGGACCGCAGACTTTAGTCACGCGAACGCAGACATCGAGTGGACGGGAAATATGGTTACATTTCTGGACGGTTTGCTACAACTGGCCGTCAATACAGTTAATCCCTTCCGGAAACTCGTGGTTCCGGTGATGATCGACGCCATACGTGTCGACCCGAACACACTCTTCGAGGCGGCGAAAAGGAATCGATTGGCCGCTGAAGTGGTGGACGACAATGAAGTCGACGGCACTAATACGTCGGTTGCGGACACATGTTTCACCGATTATGAACCAAACAGTGCGTCCGAACGGATCGCTCACTTCGGCTCCCGATTGCCGGTAGTGTTTGACTCGAGTGTGAATTGTGTGCTCACATACGGCGCTGAAGTGTATAATATGGTCACCGCTCCCATCAATAGGAAATCAGATCCCAATATGGTTTTAGAAAGACATGAGTTCATCGCCAACGACGACAATATGGCCATCGATGACAGCCATAGGAAACTACTTATTGATAATATTGAAGTTTGTATTACTTAATTCTCTCTCTCTCTCTCTCTCTCTCTCTCTCTCTTACGACCGGGTATTTAACGGCCAATAGTTTGTCCAATACTTCACAACACGAATGGATCCGTTGNCTAACAAATGATTTAATTACATAATAGGTTTGTAAAGCAATTGCTGTAAAAATACGTGAAATGGGTTTCAAAGAAATGAAATGTGATTTCAATTACAGAAAGATTAGCGAAGAAGTGATTCAAAGCCATAGAAATGCAAACTTTGATAATAACGTTATGTTTAATATTTTGGATAAAATTCACGCAACGATTGCCAAACAAAATATTAAACCAAACGATAAATACGTGATAAACAAGTTATTTAATGAAATGCAATCTAATTTTGAATACGATTTAAGCCATGATTTAGTAAATCATGTGATAAAAAATGAGCGTTTAATCCGATCTTTGGTTGAGATAATCGGCGAAAATGTTTTACCCGTAAAACAGATGAAAGTCACAGAAATTAATCTCACAAATGATTTGATGGCAAATCATATCAAACAAACTCTGGTTTACTCTCTGTTTCTTTGGTCTGATATCGACTACAAATTGATTGTTAAATCCAAACAATTAATACCCGATTATCTAAAACCCAATGCTTTTGAATGGGATATTAAAGAGGGTTTAATTCTCAAAGCAAATCATTTGCTTGTCTTAAGATATTCACACCATTTATGGGAATTGGATTTACAAGACTTGATGCAAGACTTGTCGGACGCCATCGAAAGCAATGGATTTCTATTAACAGTATTTCGATATAAAGTGACGGAACCGGAGATCGCATTGAATTCATTGTTTGGGAATTCAGTCACGGATTCAGATCTCGAGAAACGGATCAATGATTTCATAATTTATGGCAATGAAATGGGATTAAGAGTGATATGCAGTAAATGCGATACAATTGGTTCAAAGGCTGTGCTCTTCAGGAAAGTCTCGGAACCGATACTTCCGGACAAACAAACTGTTATCCAATTTAACGGCAAATGCGAGCAATGGTTTCTAATATTGAAGGACAGACTACTGATGGCCAGTGAATTGGGTGCCGACTCTTCAGGAAAGTCTCGGAACCGATACTTCCGGACAAACAAACTGTTATCCAATTTAACGGCAAATGCGAGCAATGGTTCCTAATATTGAAGGACAGACTACTGATGGCCAGTGAATTGGGTGCCGACAGTCCCCGGGTTTGGCTCATTGCCAACGACTCGTGTATTAACGGAGTAATGGGTTTAGCAAAGAGTCTACGACTGGAACCGGGAGGCGAACACTTCAGATATATTTTCATTTACGACAAAAATAATACAAATACAGACATAGACTTCAATACAAAGCCATTCAGCGATATATTGGCCAACGATTTAGTGTCAAATGTGATCAGAGATGGAAGACTCGGTTCCTATCGATACCAGAGTTTTGGCAAAAATTTTGATAAAATCCAATCAAATGAGTATTACTTGGGTTTAGGAAAGAGTCGGGACTTGTCGTCACTCGAGTGGACGGACGCCACCTCTGCTCCCATTACTGACACCTATTATGACGTGAAGAACAAATTGAGACAATCGGTCAAAATCGAGATCTACTGCTCGGCCATAATCTTTCGGGACGTACTCATAGCCACCGGTCTGTTTGGCTCAATTATTTTTTCCCGTCTTTTTGATTTATTAAATGTGGATTCAGGAACATATACAATGTATATTTTTATTATCGGCATTAATGGCCACAAATAACCGTCAACGAAACCCTTAACCTAACCTAAATTACCTTTATACATCATAATTATACACTATAATTACTCTTATATAACTAAATTAATATAATATTTCGAGATAGAAATTTTTCGATTTGATATTCAAGTTCAGTGCCAAATTCTACATTGAATCCATATACAGTACATTCATATACAATATGTATCACATTTATATATTTCGTAATTTTGATGGAGGTAGAAAAGGAGGTCTGGGAGGGGTTATTTTGTGGTCTATATGTACTGATCATAAATATACAGTACATACGTATATATGTTGTTGGGCTAAATCGAAAAGACAGTGAAGTATAATCAAACCAAATTAATAATAATTTCAGGTAAAATACCGGCGCTTTCAGACCTGTTTGTGCAACAAATTGGTCACGAGTTTGCCGGCCGTCGGGCCGATACCGGGGAACGGATTATAGGTATTAATTACGGCAAGTGTGTGGCCACCAGTACTCGTGTAAATCCGTATTTGTTCACAACAATACCCGACAACTGGTCTATGGAAGACGCGGTCACTATTTTAAGCCCGTATTTTACAGTATGGTATGGACTGATAGAGAGGGCACACATCAGACAAGGTTTGAATAATTTAGTATATGTTTTAGTCATTAATTTATTTATGTTTAAACCATAGGTGAGAGTGTATTAATCCATTCGGCGGCGGGAGGTGTGGGTCAGGCGGCCATTAATGTGTGCCAACACTTGGGGTGCGATATATACGCGACGGTCGGCACCGAAGAGAAGAAACAGTTTCTCATAAATACATACAAAATACCGGAGAATAAGATATTCTCGTCGAGAAGTACGCAATTCAAAAGTCAAGTCATGCGATCGACTGCCGGAATGGGAGTAGATTTGGTGCTCAACTCTTTGGCCGGCGATAAGTTGGACGCGAGCTATGAGTGTGTGGGCACAGGCGGACGGTTTGTGGAGTTGGGAAAAATGGATTTCTTTCAGAATCGAAAGATCCCGTCGTATAACTTATTGAGGGATTTGTGTATTATTACCGTCTCTTTAGACGAGAGTGTATTAGACCGACAGTATATTTGGGACGCGTTTTACACTTGGGTTCACCAGAACTGCAGCAATGGTTGCGTAAAACCGTTGAATCGGACGATATTTCCGGCCGCAGACGCGGAGAAAGCCTTCCGATACATGACTACCGGTAAACATATCGGGAAAATAGTTATACGTATTCGTGAAGAGGAGGCGAACCGAAAGCCGTGGAAATTCATAAAACCGGCCAATAATTTGACTGTCAGTACAAAGACTCACTTCAATCCCAATAAGACTTATATAATAACCGGAGGTTTGGGTGGCTTTGGGTTAGAGTTGTGTCAATGGATGGTATATAACGGGGCGAAGAGATTGGTGTTGACCTCCCGTTCGGGTCTTAAAAATGATTACCAGAAATATATTGTCAATCGATTGAAGGCTTTTGGAAATAAAACCGGCCGATAGTATGACTGTTAGCACAAAGACTTACTTCAATCCCAATAAGACTTATATAATAACCGGAGGTTTGGGTGGCTTTGGGTTAGAGTTGTGTCAATGGATGGTATATAACGGGGCGAAGAGATTGGTGTTGACCTCCCGTTCGGGTCTTCAAAATGATTACCAGAAATATATTGTCAATCGATTGAAGGCTTTTGGAAAAAGACATAATTATTTTGAGAATCAGGTAATGGTTTCGACGGCCAATTGCTTCACTATTGAGGGCACAAAACAACTGTTAAAAATGATTACCAGAAATATATTGTCAATCGATTGAAGGCTTTTGGAAAAAGACATAATTATTTTGAGAATCAGGTAATGGTTTCGACGGCCAATTGCTTCACTATTGAGGGCACAAAACAACTGTTAGATGAGTGCCAAGGGTTGGGCGCACCCATCGGTGGTGTCTTTCATTTGGCCCTCGAGTTAAACAATTGTCTCTTCAGTGAAGTGTCTTTCGAGACATTCATGAAAACCGTTGACATAAAGGAGAAGATATTCAAGAAACCCTCGAGTTAAACAATTGTCTCTTCAGTGAAGTGTCTTTCGAGACATTCATGAAAACCGTTGACATAAAGGAAAAGATATTCAAGAATTTGGATCAATTGAGCCGAGAATTGGACTATAATTTAGACCATTTTGTGGTCTTTTCGTCCATTTCGTCGGGAATAGGAATTGAAGGACAACTGAACTATACTTACGGTAACTCTATTTGTGAGCGTATTTGCGAACAGAGACAGAGGGACGGCCTGTCGGGTCTGGCCATACAGTTTGGTCCGATCGGTGACGTCGGGGCGATGACTGAGTTGACACAAGTGCTCGCATTCATGACAACTCAGAAACAACGGATCCATTCGTGTTGTGAAGTATTGAACAAACTATTGGCCGTTAAATACCCGGTCGTAGCCGTTAATGTATGTATGAATTAATTCAGTATATCACCCTGTATATATTAATAATATTATAATTTTACTATTAGTTATCAATACTATGAAATAATAATACAATAAATAAAGTTTATTGTTAAAAACAGGTGAAAGCAGTGGAGACCTCGTTGTTAAAGTTGGACTCTGAGGCCAAAGAGGGCTCAAAATCATTCATCAATAAGTTGTGGGGATCTCTGGGTATCGACCCGTCGGCCACTCCGGCGGACATCACTTTAGGAGAGATCGGAATTGAGTCCATATTTGCCTCAGAATTACAGCAAGAATTGGCAAAACTCTGTAATCAAACAACAACGGATCCATTCGTGTTGTGAAGTATTGAACAAACTATTGGCCGTTAAATACCCGGTCGTAGCCGTTAATGTATGTATGAATTAATTCAGTATATCACCCTGTATATATTAATAATATTATAATCTTACTATTAGTTTTCAATATTATGAAATAATAATACAATAAAGTTTATTGTTAAAAACAGGTGAAAGCAGTGGAGACCTCGTTGTTAAAGTTGGACTCTGAGGCCAAAGAGGGCTCGAAGTCATTCATCAATAAGTTGTGGGATCTCTGGGTATCGACCCGTCGGCCACTCCGGCGGACACGACTTTGGGAGAGATCGGAATTGAGTCCATATTTGCCTCAGAATTACAGCAAGAATTGGCAAAACTCTGTAATCAAACGATTAAAGTAAAGCTCATTAAAGACATGTCTGTCGGACTTCTTCGGGAGTTTGAGTCCGGAGGCGATGACAACATTAAAGCCTATTTTAATGGCATAATTAGGGCTCAAATATCACTTTCAAGATATAGGTTTGTGATTCCTGTGGAAACACACGTCAGACTCAATGGTGTTTCAAACGGAAAGCCATTGTATTTAATGCCGACTCTGGAGATGGGGTTTGCATTGTATGACAATTTGGCCCAAAATATTAACCGACCGGTCGTTGGACTCAATTGGACTTCAGATGTGAACCGATTGTCGACTTTGAAGGAAGTGATGAAATACTTCACTAATTTGATGGCAAGACTCGAACCAAATGGTGGTTACGATGTGTTGGGATCGACGGACGGAGCGATCATTTGTGGCCAACTCTTACGGAAAGGTTTGGCAGAGAAGGCGGTTATGATTGATGTGCTGTC